GTTTTGACCCAACAACTGGCCGAACGTTACGCCCTTGAAGCTGCTCGCATGGGCTTGCCATTGAAACCACCGCCATGGACAGCATTGACGAAAGCCATTGGTCCGATCCTGATCGTAAATGCACCCTCAGTTCAAGACTTGAGTCGACTCAGTCAACTTTCGAACGCAAGATTGAGAACGTGGGAGGCAATGATGTCGCCAATTTTGACATCACCACCAGGTCTCCGAATAAAAATACAAAAAGTAGAGTTCAGAATTAAAACTTCCACGTCGACAACCATGCCACGACAACCGACCCAAACAAAGGTGCTGTAGGAAGTCTTCCACAGCATGCAGACGCGACCGAAGAAGCTTTCGACGATGACGCGATCAGAGGAGACCGCCCTGAGTTACGCTTGAGGTCAGGCCGGTCAAGGGCACCTTTCGACGGACGCTTCTTTGGGTGGATGGCGCGAACCGACGCAGTCAGGCCATAGTAACCCTTGTCAACAAGTACCACCCATATGGTTGAGAATGCTTGGAAGAGCTCACCATTGTCATCCAACGGTTGCTTTTGTAGGTGTCTTCTTCAGATTCGTGACGTGCACATCCAGCCGCTTGCGGAACATTGTGAGGTCGGCAAACGATTCAGGTTCGTGGGGACCCATAACCACGAGCTGACCTTGCGCAGGAACCGACGCTTCGATCTTGAGTCCGTAGAGCTTATGCTTGCCGCTGCAGTAGTGATTTTGCTCCCCGAAGCGGCCGGACGGACGGTGGGATGGTTGGTTTCGATGTACACGAATTGGATTGTTTGGCCTTACACCAGATCACGGACAAAGTGATGGCAGATGTCAATGTGCTTCGATCGGTCGTTCACGGCTCGGTTAGTACTCAACGCGATAGCTCCTTGGTTGTCGGCATAACACACCACGTTTTCCTGGATTGCACCCAGATCGGCTAGTACTCCGCGTAAGAAGATGCATTCCTTGGCAGCTGCCGCCATGGCGACATACTCAGCTTCGCAAGGTGATGTTGCAATTGTTTTCTGCCGAATCGAGCGCCACGAAATTGGTCCCCCTTTGAGGATCCACATCTGGCCGCTGATGGATCGACGATCTGGCTTAGGTGCCCAGCTAGCGTCGCTGTATCCATGTACTTGCATAGCGACACCTCCATATGTGATGCCAAGGTCGATGGTACCCTTGATGTACCAGAGTACCTGTTTTTCCCCTTCAACGTGCCTTGTTGTTAGTTGATGTAGGTACCGTGACAGTCTCTGGATGCAGTGCGCCAGGTCGGGGCGTGTACATGACATGAGGTACACCAGACTCCCCACCATTGACTGGTAGAGGTCGACGTCGGCTGGCTCCCCAGACTCATCGCAGTCTTCTTCGGATCCCATGGCCTCTGGCGTTGCAACTCGGGAGCAGTTCTCCATCCCAAAACGCTTGAGCACCGTTTTCACATAGGTGGCTTGGTTTAGGGTCGTGAGTCCACCGACTTGGCTGACCTTGATTCCCAGCAAGTACTGAAGAGGCCCTTGTCGCTTCAGGAGGATCTTACCCGTGACCTTCCATGGCATCGAGGATGGTCGTGATGGTCTCCTTCGTGGGTGCTGCGATCAAGAAATCGTCCACGTAGACGCACAACAGGGTGATCTTCCCATTCGACAACCTCGTGTATAGGCATGGGTCGTGGAGGCTTGGTCTCAAACCGATCTTTTTTAGTCCGGCATCACAGTACACGTTCCAGTGCAGACCACTCTGCTTCAATCCCCACAATGGACGGATCATTCGGAGTTTGCTCCCCAGTGGTCCGAGTTGGTGCCCGGGTGGTTGGTGCATGATGACGCGTTCGTTTTCCGGTAGGAAACTTTGCAAGTACGCGTCCACAGCAGTGCCAGCGCGCTTGGAGCCATCTCAACAACGCTCCAAATGGTGTCGAACTCGTCGGGGGTAAGTTGGTCAGCGTGGGAAACCTTATGACGCATATGTTGCATCGTACCGACGAGCTCTCAAATGGTCTGGGCCAAGCAACAGCGGTCGTGGCCTGACTGACTTGGCCACTAAGTTAAGAAAAGTATATAACATTACATGTTATCAATTATCAAATATCTCACTCTTCGGTAGAAATCTTTACAAAATTGGCTAAATTTGCGTCTTTTGCTACTTTGAGGAAACATCACTCATGCTGCAATGTTTCAACCGCCATATTGCTTGCTTTGAACGATAGCGTGCAACTAAGTTTGCAATATCCACATCATTACACCGCTCGTGATAAGCCGTCAGAGAGATATTCAATGTCAAAGTCATGTACTTTCTAACGTTAACAGTAAGTTAGTCAACAAACCGGCTACAAGCGGTACCTTGAAAACTACTACGTATTCAGGCAAAACCGTACAGCTCCAAGCGGTACCTTGAAAACTATTCAGGAATGTGCATTGGTCTAAATCCAAAAACACGACTTATATTTCATTGGATGATTTTACGCATGGTGAATGGGTATGTATGTCCAATAAGTTGATCACAAAATATGACTGACTGTCAAGTCATTTGAAGCAATGTTTTATTATTGTGTTAATTGGTTTTTAAAATTTCTCGCAATCCAATGTCAAGTCCATTAAAATTACCGAACAGTTTGAGCCTTAGTCACTACTCCTTGCGTTTGTCGAAAAGCCAATCGAAAGTCTTCAGCCCCTAGTGTCTATCAGGTATGATAAGAGCTAGTGCGATCGAGCTGCGTGGTATACTGCCAATTCGTTTGAGTTTCGCTATTTTGGTCATTTCCCGCACCCTCCAGCTATTGGGATGTATCAACTGTCCGCGAAACGCGTGAGAAAAGATATGTGCATTAATTAATGCACATATATTGCATAATATACATAGTGTATTTCAGACTTTTGCAACAATTATGCATAATGTATGCACTGAGTTGCTACTGTACATATGCGTATTTTCGACCCCTGGGGGCATCGTCAGGTGACTTCAACACAACTGGACAACAATACTGCACAAGGTTTTGATTGGCTTATTATATCCAAGCTGTGCATTTTTCAAAATGGCAGACCAAGTTGAGTTCGGTTTTGGTCAAGGCTTTTCAGCATCAGCTCAATAATATTCACTCGCAGTACGGATAATTTTTGTGTCACAGTGGGTTTAAAAGAAGTTTGCGCTGCTTTTGGAAGTCCCCCAATGGGTGGCTTCCAAAACCGACTCAAACTATTTTGAGTCATCCGGAATTAAAATTCAATTCGATCGATTTCTTTGCGAAGACTAATATATGGTCTCAGCAAAGAAGTAGCCTGGGGACTCAAATCTCGACTTTGTCCCAATTTCAAAATCAATTTAAGACACATGACTCAAATTAAGATCTATGTTCAACAACCAATCAAACGACGCAAAATTATTTCAAGCAATAAATTTCAGTGTGAAGGATATTCGTTCGCATCGTGACACTGACCTTTTAACCGCAATTCTTCGAAAATTAATACAGTATAAATAGATAAGATATGCATGGTCATTTCGAAGTCCACCCAATGCGCTGAAATGGCCGACTCATGCAGTTGTGGAATCAACTGATGCATTCGTCCGACGAGGAAATCGACGTCATCATAAGTACGGCAGCCCAAGAAGCCGTGCGCCAAGCCGCAGCTGTGAACTCATGATCATGGAGCCGGTCTCGTCGCGGTCGCCAGCCAAACTTGGATCGGAACCGGGCTGGTGGGCACCAGCAGATTGTTGACGACTACATTGGATAGAACGGGAAACCAACGAGCTTAAAAGATAGTATAGGTCTGTCGCCATTACAGAAGTGCACTGCGTCGATGCGTATGCTGGCCTATGGCGTCTACTCGATTCAACATCGTCGCCTTGGTGAATCGACAGTCATCGAATCCATGAAGCGCATTACAAGGGCTGTCGTCTCAGAGTTATTACCCTTGATTTGATCCTCAAACGCCGCTACCCATGTCTTGGAGAGTAACGCGGTCTCCATGTCGTTCATCGATAACGACAACGTCGCCCAGCAATCGAAAGTATTTCGTGTAGACTACTTTGTATACCATACATATGTCTTGTTATTAGATTAATTCGGCGCAAAACCTCGACTCAGAGATTTTAGTGAAAACTGCGTGTGGAATGGTCAAGACTCAGGGCCCGGGGTTCTGAAACTCAGTTTCAGTGTCGAATTCAGTGTTGGGGTGGGGGTAAATTCAGAGTCAAAATATCATCGACACTGAGTAATATTCAGTTTGAGGGTCAAATTCCGTGGACGGTGGAGATGCTCTTACCCTAAACAAAGATTTATAAGCAAACGATCATACTTTGATCAAGATAAGAACATGTGTCTTAAATTGATTCTCAAAATGGTATCAAATTTGATTGGTTTTTGGTGTTTTTCTCATGCAATACGACTGCAAAACACAATATAATCGGTGTGTGGCTGTAAAGCATGATTTCAGCTATAATCTCCAAGTTTCGGAGGTTGAAAAAGTTGTCTGAGCGTAAAGATTTGGAAATTCTCCCAAGCCACCTTCCACAGATGTGTCTTAAATTGATTTTTTACGTTAGTATACTTCAATGTATATTATATTTCCAAAATGAAGTGGCTCGGGCTCATGTTGCTTGCCCAAGACGACGATGACTCCGATGGCGACGAAATTACATCCTCATGCTATCCAGAGCTCGTGCGGCACTGAAAGAAAGACACTACTTAACATCTCAGTCACTACCTGGCACCACACCGGGCGCATGGACCTCTAAATATGCAACACGCGATCGCAGCGCCTTCATTGCTGCGGTCTCTTTGGATCCATAAGAAAAAGATCCGGATGATGTTTTGACCCATATCCGTACATGTGTTTGTTTTGGAGATTTCGCAACTCTTTGTCTTTCCCATTCCCATAGCTCCATCCGGTTCTATGGGAAGTGGAGTGGGGAAGTAATTTCGGCCATTTCGCAAATCCTATTTATATACAGCCATGAAACACCACTAACTGCTCAGTTCACTTTCCTTGCTCGATGGATAGCACGGACTACACATTCGCTCTTTTCTTGGTCAAGTGGGCCAAGAGGAAGAAACTCCGCCCCAAGCTTGCAATGGCACTCTATGAGTATGCCCTTGACATACCGATTGAGCGACCACTCATTCCAGACGTGAGGTTCGATTTGAACATGCGCGATGCCGATGCCCTACTGTCTTTCCGGTTTGAGGTTGGTGGTGTGCTGGAACTGACCTGTTTGCTGGGGATTCCCAATATCATCGTAACGAGCTGCCGCGAGCGAATTGTTGGTGTGGAAGCCATGTGTATCTTGCTCCGTCGTCTACGCTACCCTGTGACATACTACGACATGGTGGCGACATTTGGGAGGTCCAGAGAGCAGTTGTGTCGAGCCTTCATTTATATGGTCAGTTTTGTCTATGGTCAATGGAGTCAGACGATTTATTGCAAACCCGAATTGTTCGCGCCCGTATTGCTCAGTATGCTGCTGCAGTCCATGCAAAAGGGGCCCCGTTGACTCACGCCTGGGCTTTTCCCGATGGAACGAAACTCGAATCGTGCCGTATCAGTGCCACATCTGCCGGGGTGGTTGGACTGAACTTGCAAAAACGCATCTACTCGGGTCACAAAAGAAAACACTGCCTGAACTATCAAGGTCTCACGACACCCGATGGCTTGTGTATTCATTTTTTGGTCCTTTGGAAGGCGCCCGCCACGATGTGACTTGCTCCGGGTTAGCAAGCTGCAAGATTTTTTTGAAAACAACTCCGACATTTTCAACGGATACTACATTTATGGCGATCCAGCATACCCCATCTCCAAGTGGATCATTTCTGGGTTCCGCGGAGCGAAATTGTCTGATGAAAAAGAACTGTTCAACGCCGCCATGAGCCGTGTCAGACAGGGAGACGAATGGAATTTTGGACGTCTGAAGGCGTTGTGGGGATTTATTACCTTCAAAATGCAACAAAAGATCATTTGGCACAATGGTGCTGGTGGCAATGTTCTTGACAAACTGCAACTGCTGCTACAATGGAGGAAATCAAATCTCAACATACTTCAACTTGCCGCCGCCGACACATAAAGAGTATTTGACGAAGGAATAAAATCAAAAGAAAATATACTGTTGGACAAGAATGTACTCTTATTTCTTGCTTTCTGCAAAGGCTTTAAACATGCTTAACTTCTTTTCGTTGTCAATTCGCGCCATTAGAATTTGGTGTTCACGCTCCGCTTGTCTTTCTTCGCGATCCAATTCTCGCTGTTTAATCTCCGACTGGAGTTTAAACTGTTGGAATGACAGCTCTTTTTCCCGCACCACCAACTCACGCTCGCTCTCAGCCTCGATGGCGGCTGCTAAGCTGTTTCGACGATTGTCGAGGGCTGACTTCTTCTTCTGCTCGTCACTATCGTTGTCCTTGCGTCGCTTCATTGTGCGCATGGCCATGTCCCGCACAATTAGGGCTCCTTGCTCCGCCTGCTCTTTTTTGACCACGCTGTTCCTCGTCTTCTGCGATGCGATTTCTTTCACATCGTCGAGGAGAGCAACAATGTCGTCGAGAAGGATGTGCTTCTCCGTCTCTTCTTCGTCATCACCGGAGAGCTTTGCTGAGGCCTTGTCGAAACGACGGTGCTATTCGACAAGTGCAGAAAATCGGTTCTGCACATCCACCACCCGGGTGAAGTGGTCGCAAGCCAGCAACGTGTCCGCCAGCGCATGCCACGCTTTCGTCAATTGACCCGTTTCAGCCGCTAACGGCTTGTCTGTGGCTGCTTGAATCAGCAAAACCTTGTCCTCGTCCCACGACCAGTTGCGGCGCTTTTCGCTTTGCGCCATGGTAGCTAGTCGTGTCTTTTGAGAATGGGAGACTCTCCCG